CGAGGAGCAAACAGTTTTCACTCGAGATACCAGTGGCAGTAGCAGGACCGGTGGCAGAATACATATGGCAAATAGTCAACCATGACACAAATAAATAACATCATTCGGTCATACATAGTTTTAACAATAGATATAATAAAAGTAAAAGACTCCTCCCTCCTCACCAGCACATAGCACAGCCTAGCAACTACAAAAATTCCCATAACATGGCATAAAAATTTGGAAATTGTCTACGACCACAGTGACTTTTAAAACAGAACCCCCACCTTTATCACTCCCCCCCCCCCCAGATAAGACAGTGATACTTCAGACAAAAACAATCCTTATCAGGCCCCTTAACATAACTCTTCTGAACTTGATCACAGAAGGTCAGCGACGTTGGCCGGCAGCTCCTCAATCACCACATTGTAGAACCTCTGGATGTCAAACAGCATCCTCTCATCGTCACGGGTCACAAAGTTAATGGCAACACCTTTCCTACCAAAACGACCACTACGACCAATGCGATGCAGGTAGTTCTCAGGTTGGGTCGGCAGATCATAGTTGATGACAAGGGACACCTGCTGGACATCAATACCACGGGCAAGAAGGTCCGTGGTAATGAGCACACGGGAAGAACCAGATCGGAACTCCCTCATGATGATGTCCCTAGTGTTCTGGTCCATGTCACCATGGGTAGCAGAAACTGTGTGATCCCTGCCCCTCATCTTATCAGTGAGCCAGTCCACCTTGCGGCGGGTGTTCACAAAGATGACACTCTGCGTGATGGCCAGTGTCTCATACAGGTCACAGAGTGTGTCAAGCTTCCATTCTTCCTTCTCCACATTGACATAAAACTGTTTGATACCCTCAAGAGTGAGCTCATCCCTCTTCACAAGGATCCGCACAGGCTTGTTCATGAATTTACGGGTGATCTCAAGGGCCTCAGGGGGCATTGTAGCAGAGAACACACCAACTTGGATCTTTGACGGGAGGAGCTGGAAGATATCATAAATCTGCAAATAACAAAAGGGAAATTAATATTACTATAGATATGAAGCACGTAATAGAAGGAATAACAGAAACATGTCAAACAGATTTTCAGAATAGTCCAATAACATAACATAAAGAGATGAAACGTATACAGCTGGCTTAACTACTTTCAATTTCCTGCTGCTTAGTATTCTAAAAGAATTAGTTACTTAAATAACACAAAAAGGATAGCTAAGTTGAGATCAAATTGAGATCTTTGGTGACACATCAACCTTAGTAGACTTTGTATAACATCAATGAAACATGCTCCCAGGAAATCTAACTCTAATCATATTAAGAATTGTACAATCATTAATGAATCATGCTCTCAGAAAGTCTAAATAGTGTTAAACCGCAAACCAAATGCAAAATACAAACAACTAAGATAATGCTAACCTGATCCTTGAAACCACGAGAAAGCATTTCATCAGCTTCATCAAGGACAAACATCTTGATGTAATCAGGACGGAGGGACTGCCTACGCAGCATGTCAAACACACGACCAGGTGTTCCAACAACAACATGCACTCCACTTGCAAGAATCCTTTGGTCCTCACGAACAGAAGTACCTCCAACACAAGCATGAACCTTCACACCCAGATAGTCACCAAGTGCGCGCATGACTTTCTCAATTTGCTGTGCAAGCTCACGAGTAGGAGCAAGGACCAAGGCCTGGCACTCAACCACAGCATAGTCAAGTTGCTGCAAAATTCCAGAACAGAAGGTGGCAGTCTTTCCTGTTCCTGACTGAGCTTGCTGAATCACATCAAGACCCTTGCAGAAAGGGACAATACCCCTTTGCTGAATGGCTGAAGGCTTCTCGAAACCTATAAAACAAAAAAAAAGGTCTGATGAATAACAGTTCAAATGGCAAACACACAAAAAAAAAGCACGAAAGATTATAAACCTACCATAGGCATAGATGCCTCTGAGAAGGTTCTCTTGGAGACCCATGTCATCAAAACTCTCATGAACTTCATCATAAGATGTGAAGAACTCCTCGGTTTCACCTTGGTTCCTGCATTAAAAGACTACCCAGTAAGCGGTAGATCCTGTACAGGAAATAGACAGACATTGCCGTACACAATGATGGCTGAGATAAAACGTATCAGTATAAGATTCCTTACAGAAGCTCCTGCATTTTAGAATCATAGTGCTTAGCATCAAACTGGGATCCCTCTGGTGCCATTCCCGCCATGACTGTGGTAATAAGATAATATGTTAGCCAAAAGAACAGAAAGTAGGACAGAGGAGAACATGCGTGATGGAGATATCTGCTAGTTCCAGTTAGCAACAAGATAAGCGCATAACAGAAAAGTAAATTAACTAGGCACATGAACTGGGAAAACAAAGCAATATATGAAGAAGATACATCGCAAACGGTATGGGTGATGTTTCACAGAGCTACATATTACACATTTGTTCTACATATTAAATAACATCACTTGCTTGAAAAATACATTACAGCTGAACATCAACTATAACCATGCACATTCTAAAGACTTAGATTATGCCACTACATGAAACTAGGAGCATAACATCAGTTCCCTAGCCATACAACCGACTATATTAACAATAATTACTATTTGACACTTAACGTAAAAACAGAAGCAAGAGGTTATCCGCAGGCAACAACACATTCAATTAAAGCATTCAATCCCATGCTTTTAGATTGCTACCTAGAACAAATACGTCTACTCAAGCATTCATTGCAAGTAGCATAACATCATTAATAAGCTGGACATGGCGTCCTAAGATTCTGCCACGTAACAAATGCATAATCGCAGCAAGGTGACAATATACAATACACCCCACACTAACCCTTATAGCTTCAACACCAAAAACCGGCACGAGCCACAGCACCAATAGATAGAACTCGACTCTGCGAGCTTGCTACCTTCACAATAATATTTTAATAAACATAAACAGTGACAAAAAAAACATCTAGTATAGCATCACTAAGCACAGAACTGAGCATGACGAATCCCCCACAATCATCTCAGACAAAAATACAAACACTGAGCATCCTACAAACCCAAGAATCTACCAAACTAAGACCACTACAGCATCAAACATAATAATAATAGAAAAAAAAATCCACCCAACTTTTCCTCCAGGAAACAAAAACCTAAACCTAAACCTAGAGTTCGCCTCCACCGCGCACAAGCTACGGCTAGACCTGTTTATCACTACCACAGATCCAGCCCAAGCGCGAGAGCCAGATCCACGCGACATCTCACGAGCAACCCAAAAAAAAAAAAAGCGCACAGATCGGGACGAGCCGGAGCGGAAAAGAGCAACAGAATCATCGGGGGGTGGGAGGGGTGGGGGATCTCGACCTGACGCGCGTGGGGAGACGGTGACGGAGGCCGGAGGCGGGAGAGGTGAATCCGAGATGGGGGTCTCGGATTCGGCGGCGGCGGCGGCGGCGGTGGCGGCGGCGTTGGGGGGGGAGCAGGAGAGAGAAACAAGAGGGTTTCGGCGACGGCGGCGAGAGGCGCCTTTTAAGGGAGGGAGAGGACGCGGTAGGGTTTCTCCGACTGTGGGCCTCGATGGGCCGTGGGCCGTCTCAAACAAGGATTCCTCCTAGCCTGCCTCTTGTTATTTTATTTTTCTTTTTTGGGTGTCTCTCCACTCTATATGGTTCTCTGTATGAGAATTATATATTGCTATTACTTTTTCTTAAGAGCAAATACAATAGCAGAGTATAAGAGCAGGTATAATAACATAGTGTAGTATATGTTTATAGATAACTATTGTATGAATTGGCTATTAAATCAATTATAGATGATTTGGAGCTAGTAGTTAGCTATACTATTAAACTTACTCTAAGTCAGCTATAAACACGTGGAGGAGATAGGAGAGGAGAGGGAATAAAAGTGGGCTACATATTTATAGCCAGCTAACTCCAAGATGTTATGTGTTTATGAGAGGTGGGACTAGATATTAATGGTGTAGTAGTATCTATTTATATGTAACTATTGTATAAATAGGCTATAGATGATTTAGAGCTAATAGTTGACTATACTATTAAACTTGTTCTAAGCTGTGTTATTTTTAGAGAGTTTGAAACCCTTTCTTCTCAGCACTTAAAATGGAGCAGATTGGAAACCCTTTCTCTTCGGCATGTAAAATGGAGTGGCAGATTGGCACATAATTAGTTAATTATTAGCAACAGTTTTAAAAATGGATTATTTTAAAAGCATTTTTTCTATATAACTTTTTTGAAAAAACATACCATTTAGTAGTTCTGAAAATTCACATGCGGAAAATGAGGGATAGAAGTTGTGAAAGGGAAGAAAAGAACACACCCTTAAGATGCATTGTTTCCTTTACACCAAAACAAATACTCAAAGAAAAGTCATAGCTAAAATTATTTGTTGAAAAATTTATATGTTTGGTTTATCATGTGGGCAACTATTTTGGTATATATAGAATAGTTTTGCAATTAATATAGGTAAATTTTGAGTTGTAATCCAACTGGTAAGGGCATATTTTTGTTTGTGCTTCTGCCACATTTTCAATTCCACTATTCCATAGCTGTGTAAATACAAATTCTTGAATAAAAAAGTTGTAGCTGTACAGCTTTCTTCGTGTTTGCTGCTTTTATGTTCCACTCTTTGGGTTTCGGATATTTTACAACAATTTGTGTATGATACGGGAGCAAATCCGAGTTAAAATCCAACATTTCAACAAGGAGAGATCTGATTCGCTTATAGAAAGCTGTGTTGCAATCTAGATAGTACTACAATTTAATGGTATTATATGAGAGTAAGCATGTTCTATAATAATTTACAATTTTTGCACTTTTTTAAATGAACAGTTTTAGAACTTTTTGTGTAGACAAGGTGGGTCTAAGATTTGGAGACAAGTTTATTGGTATTATATGAGAGTGAGTATAATTCCAGCTTGCAACTTGTAGCCTTCTCTTTTTCTTGAATAAACAGTTTTAGAACTTTGTGTAGACAGGATGGGTCTAGATTTGGAGATAATATAAAGTCCAAAGCTTTATAGAAAAGAAAAGGTTCAGTTTTGTTCTTGTCATCTGACGTCAAGTGACAAGGACATTTCAAGGCATCTTGGTTGCTTCAATACTAAGTGTTCAGTACAAGCATCCTACGTAACTTCAGTTATTTTACATTAAAATGACTTGGCTGTAAATAACGGCTACTGTAAAAATTTACACTTAGGATTGATAATTGCTTAATTGGTGAAGCAGTTAGCTCCTTATTTATCACTTGGGAGACCAACGAATAGTATCAGCTTATCACATATATGGCCACCTAATGTGGATTATTTTCAACTGAACATTTTGGTTGCAGATGATGTAAACCAGGGATGATTTGTTCATGCAATGCTTCCCTGGCTAGTAGTTCAACTCTAGCTGTTCAACCTTGTTGAACTTGAACCCGCGGATTCTGATCTCTTCCTTCTCCGAGGTGTCCTTGTGATCGACGTGCTGGATAGTCCAGCCTTTATTCTCTATATGACCTGTAACATTGAACTGAAAACGGGTGTCGTATGAATAATCCATCAGTCAAATATGACTAAATTGTTTGCGTTTTCGGTATTCATGTCATTTACGAGTTGGTAATTCGAATGCGTTTGTATTTTTATTACCTTGGCTTCATCTTTGGCATTTACGATAAGAGTGCCATCCAAGGAGAGGCCTTGAATGGTGATGTTCTTGCCATTGATGACCAAGGCTGACCTCTGAGAAACTGAAGAGTTGCTATGGACTTTGGCTTTGACATCCTTGAATATAAGACCCCACCTTGGGATCCAGGTTATGCGTGGCCAAACCTCTACCTCTTGGCCATTGAAAGTATCAATTACAGGGTCAGCTATCTGTGCACCAGCCTGGAAAAGGTGTAAGAGAGCTTGTGTTAAGCTGGAGCACAAACAATTTCCTATCCAAAAAGAATATTTCTAAAGTGATCACCTTTCTTAAAATAAGGCTGTTTGCCCTGTAAATTGCCATCTCTCCTGAAGTAGCACTATGGTAAGGATTACCTTTTGGAACCTGCAGAAGGCATATTAGAAGATAGAAGACCACATGCGCAGTACAGTATTAGACTGGAAACGAAAAGGGAAGCTGATGTAAAGCAACTGAACCAAAGCAGTTGGTATAAAACTACAAACTGATGCATAACCTCTTAACGTCATCAAAACACAGATCAGGTATGTAGCTAGTATCTTCAGAAGTATGGATGAAATGTAGTTTTCAATGAATCACAAAGAAGGGCAAGTTGAATCTGACAACAGGCCTATTGATTTATAGGAACAACTTTTAACCTGAATCATAATTCATTGACACCGGCATAAAATTCAGAGCAAGGCCAGTTCTCACGATGCATAACTTCATATGCGAGCATAAATATTTAATGATTATAATATAAATTTTCAGTCTCGAAAGGCAGTGAAATCATACTTTAGCAGAATCTTCAGGATTATTCTTTACAGGAGCATAAGTAAGCCACGCATCCATCACCTAGCATTCAAGGAAAAAAGAAGAGCAAAGTGAGAACAGACAGATTAATTATCGGAAAAATTCTCGCTCAATATGAACTTTGCATTCCCATACCGTAAATCCAACTTTTGCAGAGGGAGGTAGTGTTTTTGGATAGTCCTGCATCATGCACTCAAGACGAGTGGACGATTTAAATGCTGTCTTGGTAGAATCAGTATACCTAAATTGAAAAAATGATAACAGATTGGGGTTAAACATTTGAAAACAAAAGTATTTTAGGAACTTATTCACAAAATCTTGAAGTGCCCTGACTTGTATCTAACAAAATTCAAAACAAGACTTATCTACTCCGTTGACTATACGAAATATTTGCAGGTTTGCTGCAAACTTGTTCTGAAGTTTACTTTGTCAGTGCACTAGCTCAGAGTACCTTAATGGTACTATAGGAATACCTTGTCGCATAGTAACTAAGAACAACTTCCATGATCAATAGTACAAGAATTGGTGATACCACTGGGAAGATAAGATGATTATCAGCACATCGATTGGAACTGACTAGCTGACATTAGTGAGGGGAAATATTTTCACAACAAATGTAGCAGCAGTATGAAGTGAAAATGGAAAAGAAGTGTGCACAAAGAAATCAGAGGCATACAAACAAGAGAGAAGTTTTGCTTCCTTAAAAACCCACTATTGGAATAAAATGGGAGTCAGAAGCAGTGTGCAATAGTTTCACTGGAGTAAGTAGGCAGAAAAATTACTTAGGGTTTACAAATTCCGAAATGGCACCGTGTGTTTTCTGGAGCTCCTCCATATATGGTCCAATCTCCAGTATCAACTGCAGAAGTGTAACGCACAGAATCAGTAGAACAAAAATCAGTGGTCCCAACAAAACATGCATGGCTAACAGAAGAGTGTTGTTTATTTCTAATCAATATGCACATCGACAAGTAAATAGATTTATCAGAAAATCATATTTGATCAACATCTCATGTTAAGCACCATGTTTTTAAAATGTCTTGAAACTTTCAAGTCGGGGTTTGGATGGTCAGTTGGCAGAAAGTACCTGGTTTATATTTCCAGGGTATGGAGAGTACCCTGTTTCACAATTTGCATCTCCATCAGGATGTCCGGTTGCACGAAGGAGTGGATCAAGCTGATTGTACTCGACATTGATGACCATTGTTCTACCTATGCATAAGAATGGTTCTATGTCAATTTTTGACAAATGCAAAACAGCAATATAAGTGGAAAAAGAAAGTGAAAAAAAAAACATTGTTAAATTTGATGTGATTAGATGCCACTATGGATCGATCAATTATATTTTTTCTATTTACAATGTTGATCCCAGAACGATGAATCCACTGCTTAATCCATGAGTAGGTGGTAGTAAAATTTACCATCGACATGAGTAAGTTTTGTTATTCCTCCAATGGCTTCTTTTGCCTTCCGTGGAACTGCAAGAGAATTAACATTATAACCTTTGGTGGCGCTGACACCTAATGCTGATGGTATTGCCTGTAAATACAGTGGGAAGATCTATATCAATTTAACAGATACCATATGTCAACTCATTCCAGCATTTGTCTAAAAAACAAGCTCTCAATTGTAAGACAGTAGGGAAGCAAGAGTACAAACATTGAAGAGCAATCCATTTGTGTCCTGGAAAAAGAGAACCCATTTCCGCCCTGTGCTCTTCCTACAAAAAAGTAGTATAAAACACACAAGATCGACATGCATTGATTTGAACTTAGCATAATTATTTTAGCAATTTAATTCATGTACATTACTTCTAATCTTCTTCAAACTGGCAAAAAGCGACTAACTACGAATGTTGAATTAATTTACCATTGCTCAAGCAAGCCGCTTGAATAAAGAAGAGCGTGGACATCTCCATGCCCATGTGGCTTTGTCTGTCAAATCACAAAAATGAAATTAAGAAACCTCCAGGAAAAGAAAAGGTAACAATAGGTGACATATATTTAAATCTTAATTATAGAGATCTCGTATCAAAATTAGCAACCTGGATTTTGTACTTGTCATTTGGGTCTAATGCAAGCCTTGCATCATTATCAGCTAAACATGCCACTTTTTCCTGAAAAAATAATAAGCATTAGCATTAAATAGCGAAACTAACTTTTGTGCCTACTGAAGAATATATTTTAACTAAGAAATACATGGAAGAGATAGCAAGATAGAAGACTACCTGCTTAAGAATGTGCACTTGTGATGGTTCCATTCCAAAATAGGAGTTTGACTCCAAAAGTTTGACGGTTAGTGCATTTGTGTCATCAGAAGTCATAATAACAAATGGGATCTTTGTATTGCATTCACCTGCAAGCTCAAGGAACAAAATCAATCAGAACCAAATCAACATCTGAATCGTCTTTGAGTCTTTCCATCCAAAGAACGTCTAAATAGTGGGAAACACATATCGAGCAACCATTCACAACAACCAACAGCAGTTCAAAGGGAAATAACTAAAGGCTAACACAGGCAATACCTACCAGAAATACCACAGCGATATTAGAAAGAAAAATACTTTGATAAGATTAGTTTATCAAAACAAGAAGTATCATCCCTGCTGTTAGTCATGAGTTCATTGCACATATAATGTAGTCCACATACCCTCTACCAATTTGCAGCTCGCCTCCTGCAAAGCTAGAATAGATTCTATGTAATGTTGAAGAAAGCATTTTCCAGTAGTTGTTTCCCTGGGAAGTGCAACCTGCGCAATGATATTACCCATGAATGCTTGATATCAAGGTGAATTTAGCACAACAATATAATGTCCAGAGGGAAATTACATGATCCCATTTCTGGATTTGCTAACAATCATATCAAAATAAATGCCTGATGGACAGTCTAGTTTGTAAGCACACAAGATCAACTTGACTACCTGTACACTTTGACTTGCTAAAACATTTGCTATCCTATCCAATTTCCAAGCTCACTGAAATTTGCTGGAACTGTGGAGATGTAATCACTTTCTTCCTTTTTTTCATTAACATCTTAGTTTTCATATACGAATTGTGGTGCATGATGTTGTGATAGGACGATTCAGCAATTAATGTGAATATATCTTAGCAAAATAAGAGGCATGGAGGTGAAATGTTTCAACCAAACAGCACAATCATACTACATCCTCATGACTGCAAAACACTAGTTCTACTACCACAGCATCTACTTTGGAATTGTAATAAATATATGCCCTTTTGTTTGCTAGAACTTGGGTCGGATATCACAACATGTCATAACTGGGAATCTTTAACTGGAGTTACCAGTCAAGAAGCTAGCTATTTTCATGCTTTGTTGCAAGAATGGTATTTCCAACTGGGGTCACATTACCTTAATTCCTTTGTAACCAAGTCTTTCACCAAGCCCACCAGCTACAAGAACAAATGCTGCATGGCGGGCTTCTTTTACCCCAGCTTCTTCAAGCGAAACAAAGTTGTCATCACCAAAGGTCAATACTTCCCCTGAAGGAACCTGTAATTATGGTACCTCTGTGAACACCATGTAGTCATTTCAGATTGTAGAAAAATGCACATGCAAGTGCACACGGATTCAGACTAGAAAAGGGAAGAATTAACATCATTCAGATTTGACAATAGTGAGCTATACACCATATATTAGAAAGATTATGCAGTAGGAGTTATGACACCACGAATCCAATTCATGGAAAAACAGCACACATCAAGACTTACAGAAGGTGAGAAGCCATCATATGGATTTTTTCCTGCCTTTGAATCTGCTAAAAGCTTTCTTGCATTCTGGATGTACGATGCCAGCCCACCAGGATAGCTTGAATTAAGGCGGCAGACCTGAACAATGACAATTTTAGCAGAAATTCAAAATAATAATAACAATTTGGTTATTTAAGCGCCTCTTCAGCTTTCTTGGCCTATAGATGATATCAACAATGGTAAGAGGACATGGTGCTTCTTAGAGTAAGCCGACAAAAAAAAAGAAGGTTTATAGGTGCCTCATATGAGGCAATCCCAACAAGAAAGCAAGAAGAAAGTATTTTAGCCTTTGTGTTAGTATCAGTAAAATTCTATAAAAAATATTGTTGTTTTGTGAATAAGGGACAAACCTGGTCAAAGAAGTTCCTTTTCTTGTCATCATCAACACCTGGTTCCGGCCAGTGTTCAAACAAATGTGACTGTCCTTCACTCAGCAGCAATTTTGCAAGCTTAACCTACAATCACCACCAGGCAGGAAGCATTATGGAAAACACAACTCAAATATGGTAAGTAAACAATACATTACCCATTCCGAGTAAACAGTTGTAAGCACAAATTTCAGGAATTTTTTTTCCAATACTTTGTACTGTGTTCCCGTAGAACTTACTAGTAGGGTGGGGACTGAATTGATATGAAAATTGCAGGAGTAGAAGCAAAGTAGTTAAGACTACGTTGTCGAACAAAATCCCAACGAAACAGAGGTAGTTATTCGTTCTAGCGTCAAATCATCTGGTACTGGACCTAAACTTACGACTCGTAATCACCCAAAAAAAAATCAAATTTGCAGCCGCAAGGCCACGCAACGCGATTCTAGCAGAAAACTGCAATCTATCCATCCGACATCTAACGCAGGACGTCGCAGGTTGCAAGCCAAAAAATCACCTCGTGGGGCGCGAGCAGCGGGAGATTCCGCCGCAGCGGCGGCGCCCAGTCGTCGCCCCCGCCGCCGGAGATCCCCAGCGCCGCCACCGCCGCGGCGCCGTCGCCGTCGGAAGCCATCGCGCGGGCGTGGCGTGGCGTGTGGAGTCAGAAGTGGGGGAGCAACAAAACCGTCTCCCAAATCGCTCACAAAGTCGCGGTTTTTATATTTTTTTTTGCGGAGGAATCGGTGGATAAACTGAATCCCAAATCAATTAGGAGTAGTAACTGCAACTCATCCCGATCGATCCGTGAAGATGATGGTGGTGGTGGGCGCGGCGCGGGGCCCACATCCACCACCTCGGCGACGAGACGAGCATCCGAACAACGGGTGACGCGGTGGCAATGGCATTCCCCGGCTTTCACGTGAGCGCTCGCGGCGGCGGGTGGGCCCGCCCCCACGGCGCCGGGTGTCGGTGGTGGCCGCCGCCGATAAGCCCCGTAAGACTTCAAACTTCCAAAAATTATTCCGTCCGATCAAATGTTTGGGCATATACACGAAGCACTAAATGTGAATGAAAAAAATCAATTATAAATTATACAGATTGCATATAAAATTACAAGATGAATCTTTTAAATCTAATTTCACCATGATTTAACAATGTGATGCTACGGTAAATATTTACTAATGACGAATTAATTAGACTTAATAAATTCGTCTCGCCATTTACATACGGAATCTGTAATTTGTTTTGTTATTGGTCTACGTTTTTAATATTTCAAATATGTGTTGGTATACTTTAAAAAAAATTGGCCTCACGAACTAAACACGGCCGTACTAGATTTTATCTAGCATGTTTTACTGTATTTTGGTGAGCTAGTAGATTTTAGAGCACCTTTTTTAAACTGTTACTCCCTCCGGGTTGATAATACTTGTCGTTTTGGACAAGGGCACGGTCTCCAAAAAACAACTTTGACCATTATTTTCTATTATAATATATATAAAGTGTTAACAAATATATAAATTTTATTAAAGTACTTTTCAAGACTAATCTATATATGTAGTTACCATATTTGAAAGATAAATATTTTAAAAATGATTCATAATCAAAGATTCTAAAGTTTGACCTCACCCTTGTCTAAAACGACAAGTATTATCAGCCCAGAGGGAGTAAACAATGTTATATCTTTTGGAAAAACAATATGTAAAAGTTCTTTTAAGATATAAATAAATACATTTTTTTTAGGATTATTGTAATTAAAACTTAACTGATCATTATCTTTCACGTTTTGCAAGCGCTGAGTTCATCCTCATCTAGATTCAGACATCTGTCGCAGACTCACGGGTTCTAATCTGGAATCTCAAATCATTTACAACAGCATATTCGAATTTTCCAACATGGCATCACTTGGCACCTCACAGTTGCAAATGTAAACAGGAAAAATGAAACAAAAATCTTGTATACATGTATAATTTGGAGTATATATGACGAAGCCACATCCAAATGGCATAAATTTGTACTACTATATTGTACTAATACGTATACCCGGAAAGAACATTAATTTTTCCCCTCATTTTGTTATATCATCATGAGTTTACTCTTACCTAGCTACATGTGTATATGTATCAAAGTGTATGATGAAATGTCAGTAGTAGTGGCCTGGCAGGTTGGTGCTACTCCGGCGGCGCGAGGTTGAGCACCATGTCGGGGCCCTTGTCGCCGGCGACGGAGAACTCGTCGGGCACCGGCACGCCCAGCTCCTCGCACACCAGCCGGACCACGCGCCGCGTCACGCCGCCCAGCGACATCTTGTTCACCGTCACGGCCATGGCCAGCCCGTGCTCCACGTCGCAGAACCCCGTCGACCCGCCCATCCCGGAGTGCCCGAACGTCGTCGTCGCCACCTTCTCGCCAGCGCCGGCGCCATAGCCGTACCTCCTGAACCCGAGCCCGAACTTGCCGTTCGGGTGGATCATGCCGGAGAAGTCGCCGACGCCCATGAACGCGTCGAGCATCTTGGTGCCGCCGTCGACGAACATGCTGCTGCCGCTGCCACTGCCGTTCCCGGCCACCACCGCTGACACCGTCGACCCCTCGTCGCTGCCGTCGCTGGTGCGGAGCTGGGTGTACCCGTCCTTGTCAGCGACGCCGACATCATTCTTCGAACCTCCCTTCTTCTTCTTCTTGGACGGCATGGTGGGGAACTTGGGGGTGTGGACATGGCTGCCGAGTGGCGGCTTGGAGCCACCACCGGAGTGCGGCGGAGGAATGGCGCCGCCTGCCCCCAGCGCGGCGTAGTATCGAGCCAGAGCGCGCGCCGAGCAGTGGCCATTGGCAGCGGGGAGGATGGCGCGGCGGATGTTGAGCGTGTTGAAGAGGACAGGTAGGCCGGTGGCCATCTGGGCGACATTGCTGAGCAGCTCCTGTGGGACGTCTGGTCCTGCTCTGAATCCTGACAGCTTCTCGAGCTCCTCCATGTCGACTGTCAGTGCCGCAAGGCGAGATTCGACACCTGACAAGGGCGGAAAATCGATGAACATCACATATTCACATGTAGGATATTATCTACAACGGTAAGAATATAGCAGCAATTTCACTCATCAAACCTATGGAACACATCTCCAAAAGCGTGGGTGAGTATGTTTATGGAACATGTCAAAACAAGCCAGAGACAGAGAAAATGCGTTCTTTGGACAAGCATCGAACTCATGACTGTACTTCACATATGCATTGTAGTCTCTTTTCAAATAATCTTTGGAACAGTAATAATAGCAAGAATATAGCACCCCGCAAAAAAAAGGTAAGTATCTAGCGCAATTTTTTCACTCATCAAACTTATATGACATGAACACGTCTCGAAAAGGTTAATATGTTTATGGATTTGTAGAAAAAAAAAATATCCATCATTATATCAATGCGTACACCTATTTTGTTGAAAGCTAAACTGGGAAGTTTTGTTAGTTATACCTGGAGGAATGCCAATATATAGCTCCCCGTTAATGTGAAGAGGATGAACAATGGCCTCTTCTAGGACCTCTTGAAGCTTCTTTCCGGACGCATGCTATTATCACCAAATATCAGCGTTAGGATTCATGAAATTAAGTTCACACAGAACAGTGACATACAAACACGTGTTGTTTTCAGTTATTTACCTCTACTTTGCCAATAGCCCATAACCAAAAAAATATAACTTGGTGGGCTGTGCATTTAATTAAGCCCATAACCAGATTAAAAATTAGTATAACTATGTGAAGCCATAAAGATCCACTGATCCAGTTAAAAAGGTTCAGTACTCCCATTGAAAATAAATGAACTCGGTGTATGTGATGCTCGGGAGAGACATACCTCTATGATTCCACCACACAGCCAACCAAAGGATAAGTAGTGATACATTTGTTCAGAACCCGGTTCTGTTTCCGGCGTACACTTGGTAATCTGGTGCAGCATCTCTTCCCAGTCACATACCAACAACGGATCACTCTTCATCACATCTCCCAATGCATTATGTAAACCAGATGTATGATTCAGAAGATGATGAACCTTTAGTAGAAAATTGCAAATCAGAGTCTGTTAATCCCAAGAAACAGTGTTTCAACAAACAACAAAAAAAGAAGTTCTAGTACCTTTATTAGCTCTTTTTTGTTAGTTCCGAATTTTGGCCATATATTGGCAACAGTCTCCTCATACTTCAACTTCCTGAAAGATAACAGTATGCTGTCAGCCTGTCACTAATAATAAAAAAACACTGGATATGAGAGGAAAGATTCTCATATCAAAATTTATCAAGAGGGGTGAGGCTTGAACCTGGGTCGGCTAGCCCACATCTTGTGGTGCTAGCCAGAAGACCCCAGGCCTTTCTCAGCCTGTCACTAATGGATTGCAATGCACATAAAAGCCTAAGGTAGCAGGGAAAAGATGCTCAATGTTCTCTGTAGTACCATCACTGTTAGAGATTTAGAGGAGTTGCTTGCTTTATACAAGAATCTGATGCTTTATACTTTTTAAGCACTAGAATGTAGATAATATCAAGAAATATTGTGACCTGGATAACGTGGATGCAACTGCAGGAAACTACACTGCACCAATCTAAATTTTATGTTTCAACAGTGACTCACATGTCATAATTGTGAAGGATTGCCACCTGCACTAACATGGTTCAGCCTAATCATGGGAACACTGGCACCCATTCTCCATGTCCATTTTTATTGTTCAACATAGACTCACAGAAATACGGTACAACAATTTGATGCTTCAGAATAAAAGTTGTTTGCGCATGTGAGTGACTTTGCCATGTATATAAAGATGGAATATCTTTATTTTGTTAGAATGTTAGTAGATCAAGAGGAGGCCTACTTAAACAGGGTGGCATACTACCATGCTCGTTACTGTTAGGCCAAATATTATTTTTGATACACTAGTAAGCTACTAAGATGAGGTATTCTAAATATAAGTCGTTTTGGAACTTCTAGCCACTTCTTCATCTTCTCTTCCATGCTTGACCTTGGCAAATAAATGCTAGCTCTCTCAACAAATAAATGATTCATATCTTTCATGTAGTATAAGTGTAGGGTAAAATAGTCAGTTCTGTTGTTTTCTTAATTCTTGTGCATAAGTCTAAACGACTTATTTGGAATCTGAGGTAGTATAATGTACTGTAATACGACGGCCTGCAAACATATTTACACTAGCATGTTAAGAAAAAAAAAACTTGGCATTGTGATTAAGCACTCACCCTTTGTCAACAAGCCAATGCACCATGCCAGCAGTGATACCCTTTGTCACTGAAAAAACTGGAAAGAGAGAATCAGGTTGAACAGGACGTGGATCATACTTCCCTAACGTACCAGCAGCGGTATCTATTATGACCTTTCCATCTTTATAAGCACAAACCTGGTAAAAGGAAGATTTGTAAGGCACCAATGAAGCAAAGTCATAGCATGTAAATGAATCGCATGAGATTATCAACCTACTTGTATTCCTAAAATTTTGTTGCTTCCCAACTCAAGCAGAAGGTTCCGCAGTTTAGACTCCACCTCTGAGTTAACAGGTGAGTCATAAATCCACTGACTGTTAGCTGTGGGCCCACGTGTCATACTCCTACCATCAACGAAGGCATAAATAAGCAATAAAAAAGATGCTTTACTCTAAGGCTCCTGCAAACAGTAGATAAACAGGCATCTCACCCTAGCAAAGTTGATTCAGCAAATGGCCTCATGATGTCTAGATAAACTATCCTAACATTTAGTGATG